CATTGGTGAATGCCACAAATTCTCCTAAATCACTCGTACGCACAATTTAAGAACAAATCTGTGCGTACGAACGGTTTTTGCATGAGGCCCAATGTTCGTACATACAGATCACAACAAAAAGAAGACTCTCTTTGTGACTACATTTCAAAAAACTTTCATGTTTTGCATATGAGGGTTTGTTATCTACTAAGCTTTTATTTTTCTAGATAAAACATTAACCACGTCAGTAATGTCTTTGATTTTTCTATCTGTTAAACTGGTTTAAATAATAACATTGTGACATTATTAAATGAAAAAGTACTACAGAACACAGATATAATTGCTTTGATGCATAAAAAAACAGTTCAAATGCTTCCTCACCCTCCATCTCTGTCCCAGTCATACACCTCAACTTTAATGCTCCTGCAGAGAAAAAGAAGAGGACAGAGCACAATACAATTAAAGACAGATAATTATCAAGGAAATATTTAGAATCTGTCAACTTCAAAGCTGGGAACTGCTCTGGAAAAGTTTTATGTGGATAAGCCCAGGCAGTAAAAAACAGTTAAGAGTTTTGTATAAAAAAAAAAGTTTTACTCTGATTTTTAGCAATTAAATCCTTTCTAGAAAAGACTTCTAGTCTTATTTAGTAAAATATCCAAGGGAATTTGTTTCAGATCTTTCACACATCAACATGGTGAGATGTGTAATATTTTGTAAGCACTCATGGTTCAGTCGACTTGTATCTAAGTAGACTCTAAGCTGAATTAACGACCGGTCAGTCAGTGAAAACAATCTCTCTGACTGGCTGTTTGACAGCAGACTAATGAAGTGAGAAAAACTAAAGCTACATGCATCACACCGTTTAGTTTTATGTTCATATCCTTCTTTAAGCAACACATTTAACAAGAATTACGATAGGACAGTGGCGTCACCTCACAATATGATACGATAAGCAATACAGGGTCCACAATACTGATAAAACTGTGTTACAGCAAATCTGCAACTATTTGTAATTGGACAAATACATCTGCAGGGGTGGAAAGTAGCAAATTAAATTTATTTACATTATGTAATTATATATGAATTTTACTTTTACTTAAACGTGAGTATTTTATTTCAAGTGTTTTACTTAGTTTAGTAAGTTACCTAGTTTAAAAAATCTACACTTAAATGTATGAATTAAAATCAGGAGGACAAAACAATGCGTGCTACTAAACCCATAAAGGGACATTGGAGGAAAAAAACACAATAAAATAAAATCTTGTGCACACCAGATAAGTTTCTGGTGCACGCCAGATAGTTACTTTTCATAGAAGTCAAAGATGGCTGCTGAAGAAGATCTGATAGAATTTTTGAAAAAGTGAAATAGACCTAATAATGTCGTCCAAAAACTGACAAGGTAAGTTCATTTACTTGTAGAAAAGGATAGAATACACTAGTCTGTAGTACAAGCCTCTACAATAAAACTGAACATAGAAAGACATATAACAGCAATATTTACAGTATACGTAGTTATTGCGTTTAGGATGTTTGGCTGGTGTTCAGAGTCTGAATGATCGATGGGGAGAAACAGTTTTTGAGTCTGTTGGTGCGGACCTTAATGCTCCTCTCAGCTCTCAGGCTGAGCAGGTGATGATTAGGATGGAGGTGGCCTTTGAACATCCTCTTTGCCTTGGAGAAACATGAACGACCACTCGCGCTTGATACTAGTCTAACATAATGACAGTCTACACGCAACTTTTCTTTTTTCATTCATAAAAAGCTCAACTCTGGGACATTTCCAAAAAACAGTTTTAGCAACTGAGAGAAACCCTTGGCTGTGTGCGCTCCCAAGGCGAATTGTTATCTCAACACTAGCTTACCTTTTCACACATCGACTGGTCCGGCTCTTTCTTTTCCAAACATGGCAAAATCTTCTACCTTCCTGACCGTCGTGGAGCTGCAGCCATGTCCCAATTTAGGTCCCAGTTTGGTCACTTTAGCTGGAGTTTATATTTACCCATACTCTGCTTCAGAACTTTTCTTGTTTTCTCAATGCATGTCTCGTTATCCTCACCAACCAGCTACCAACATATATAAAGTGGTTCTGTGACTCATATAAAGCTAATCAATCACTCAGATAAGCATGTTAGGCTGAGAGGAAAAGAAAAAGTCAGTCTGAGAGGTTTGCAAAAAAAAATTTTGTTCAGTTCTTTTGAGACAAATGAAAAATATTTAATGTTTTTTAATGCCATTTAAGGCCTTGATTTGAGATAAATCTATTGACCTTTAATGCTGTTTAATGACCCACAGAAATCCTGAAAATACATAAGCTATGTTAGTTTTTTCAGGATTATCACTTGCAGCTTTTCCATTTTTTATGTCTAATTCTAGCTTCACTGAACTGAGGAGGAAATTTGGGTGTATCTTTGACAAATTACAGCAATAATTCAAATTTTTTAAATGGGGTCTGACGCAAAGTTACGGACAATATTATGCTGGTTGTAGCAGCTCACTGAGTGAACTCAGTTTGGATAAATGTAGTTCAAATCTAATCAAATCAACAAGATGACAACTTATCAAAGGCCAATACCAAAAGTGTTTAACTCCAATGCCAGTTTCACATTAAGTAGTTACTTACCTAGAATGTGCAAGTACAAATGCCAGCAGCACAAGCTAGCTGTAGCACTTTCAATACAGCACTTTAAGCAGAAGTATTGAAATAATCATGTAATGTAAAAATGAGTGTTGTGTAAAGGTTTGTAGCATCGTGTTCTCATAAACCACCATGACGTTTCTGAGATTAGAGCAAGGCTCTTTGATCTTGGCCGCGCTCACCAAGCTAAAAACTCATCAATCCAGTCAGAATTAGCCTTTTACTTTAAACTGAGGTTGTTCAGAGAGCTTTGCACAACAAAGCTCTCTGAACTTTGTTGTGCAAAACCTAACTTCACTTTGTTGTGAAGTTAGGTTTTGCATAACCTTTCTGCAAAACCTAACTTCAAAATATCTAAACTATCTTTTTTGCACCAAACTATTAAAAAAGTTTAGCACAATAGCACACGAAACACAAGGATTTTCTTCACTTTTTAACAGTTTCATTTTATTTCATCAGCATATTTATTTCATTTTATTTTATTTTTTACTGTCAGCAGATTGCGATGCATCAAAATTGTTGTTGTTGTTTTCGTCATTATAAATAAAAAAACCTTGCAATAAATTGAAGCACATTATAATCCTGTCCAATTATCTATAAAGAGTTTTGAAAGGTTTGCATGTGCGGGCTTCCTGCTGCGTGGTGCTGTACCTGTCATAGTCTCCGTTGCACAGCGCCCTGACAGGAATTTTAAAAGCCTGCCACACTGGATCCAGAGTATTCTTCACCACTTCTGTCTTGTGGCAGATAGTATACCTATGAGACATTCAGAAGGTGTTAACAGAAGACAAAAATATTCCAACACAAGACACTGGGCAAGTCTACCTTAACGTGGTGACTGTAATGTGAAAATAGCTGCTTCTTGTCCTTTTCACAGGGCATCTAAACTGGCTCTTTGTTACCGCAGTGTGTTGCCGCTACAGCCCGCAGCAGAACATTTAAGCTGCATCAGTAAATACCCAGCTGCACTGAAGAGAATGTGTTAAGTGTGAGATGCTGAAGTCAACTTGAATAAAAAGCATCTGCAGGGCACAGAAAAACGGTGACCTCCAAACAAAGTTTTCACTTAATTCCATCTTATCCATCATACCCCTCTTGAATTTTCTCTTGTCAACTCTGTCCTACTTTATCTGTCATCCACTGCTTCCTTTTGATAAAGGATGGGGGCATGTTGCATATCAAGCATTACGTAACATCACATACAGTTTAGTTGCAATATCCCCCGCACAAGACTTTTTGGCGCCTAAACATGAGCGATCATTCTCAGAATCTGTATCTACTTCAGACATCCCGTCAACTGTGTGTATATTTCAAATCAAGACAGCTGCATTTTTAAAAACCACCAGGTTGAAGTCAGCAATATCATAAGGAACTTACGATCCGTCTTCATTACTGCGGTAAAAAACTAGAAAAGGATCCGACTTTCCAAAGAAGTCTTTCTTATCCAGCTTGTTGCCGCAAAACTGGAGCATCACTGATTCCTAAATGAGAAAAAAGGAATCAATGTCTACAGTGAATATAAAAAGGCTGCACACTCCTGATTAAATACCCCATTTTTGTGACACTAAATATTGAAACCATCGAGCGTAAAGCAATTGTTAAAGCTTTCCTTTGAGTTGGCTCATTGTCGCAACCCCTGCAGAAGGTAGCAACTAAATGACAAAATGAAGAAGACTGTGATATAATTCCTGTACAATTGAAAAGAAAAAAACTCAACAAAAGATCCTAAAGTCTTACAGACTGCAAAGGCATCTCTTGTGCACAGCTATTTTCAGGACACCATGGAGATGTTCAATCCTTGTCTCTGATCCTGTTTGTAGTGTTCATGGACAGAATCTCAAGATGCAGTTGTGGAGAGGAGGGGGTCTGGTTGTCTCATCTCTGCTGTATGCAGATGATGTGGTTCTGTTGGTGTCTTCATGCCAAGACCTTCATCGTGCACGGGGCGAGTCCCAGTCGAGCGTGAAACGGCCGGATGAGAGTCAGTTTCTCAACCAAAAAGGGTGGAATGCCCCCTTCAGGTTGAGGGGGAGTCTTGGCCTCAAGTGGAGGAGTTTACAGTAAGTATCTGGGTGCCTTGTCCACAAGTGATGATTGACGGAGGATATTTGTCCTCAGTAGTGAAGGTGTTGCTTCGGTCGGTCGTGGTGAAGAAAGAGCTGAGTTGAAAGGCAAAGCTCTTGATTTACTGGTCTGTCTACGTTCCAAACTTCACCTGTGTTCATCAGGTTGTGGGTCATGACTGAAAGAATGATATCTCGGATACAAGTGGCCAAAATGATTCCTTCGTAGTGTGGCTGGGCTCAGCCTTAGAGATAGGGTGAGGTGGTTCAAGCAACTGGTTAGGATGAATCCTGGACGCCTCCCTTTAGAGGTGTTCCGGGCACGTCCCACTGGTAGGAGGCCCCGGGGAAGACCCAGGACTCACTGGAGGAATTATGTACATGTATGCTCTCTGGCCTGGGAAGACCTCGGGGTTCCCCAGGACGATTTGGAAAGTGTTGCTGGGGAAAGGTACAGTATGTCTACGTTCCTCTCCTGAACCTGCTGCCCCTCAGACCCAACTATGGATAAGAGATAGAAGTTGGAGATTTAGATCTAGACTCTGGATGAGACAATATTTTTTTATCAGGAGAGTCTGTTTTTGCAGATTTGTAAATGTACTTTATTTGTCATCAATCCATGTTCCCAAACAATGATGAGATTTGTGCTCGACAGTTTTCACACATGAAAAACACCCAAGCAAAGCAGTTTGGGCTAGGTGTTTAGCTCAAGGACACCATGACATGTGGGAATGGTAGGGGGTCCAACCTGTGACTTTCTGATCCTAAGTTGACTGTCCTACTACTGCACCACAGCCATCCATAAAAATATAAAAACTTCATTGCATGTTTAGGGTCACTCTCATTTAAATGAATGCAATTCCCTAACAGGTATTCAAAACTTTTTTATAATCACATCCACATTGAATAAAACTCCAGTTTTATCCAAAGAAAATGAACCTCACTGCATGATAACTTCCTCCACACACCATGTTTCACTGTGGGGGCGGTCTTCTATGGGGGATCCACAGTCTTTTTCCTGAACTAAACACATTGTGGCTAAAAAGTTTAACTCTGGGTGCATAAGACCACAACACAATTTGTCAAAATGGTGACCAGGATGTTTTTCATTGTAGGAAATGTCTTCTTTACCTCACAGTGCAAACATAAGAAGAACACAGGAGATTGTTGTCACATGTAGAACAAAACCAATAGTTGTTTAACCATCCTGCAGATCCTCCAGTGTTGCTGTAGGCCTCTTGGCAGCTTTTTGTCTTGCTTTATTAATTCTGAGGGGATGTCCAGTGCTCCATAATGTCACTGTTGTTCCATTAGTCCTCAGCTGCTTGATGAATGTACATATTTATTGGGTTCCACTGGATACCTAATGATGACGATTTTTTTGTACCTTTTCCTAAGTAGCATCTTTTAACAGTAAGATCCATCCAATGCTTTGTGAGCTTTCTGTGAATCATCCGGGATGTAACTGAGTAAATATCAGGAAAATTTTACCAGAACAAATAAACTGTAGTCCAGATTGATCAGAGACAAAAAAAAACAAAAAAAAAAAAACAATGAAAGCAGCATTAAAAAAAAAATTTACTTCAATGGTGTAAACACTTGTGCAATCAGCATATTTTATCTTTTAATTTTTGTATTTTTCCACGTAACTCTTTTTTTTTTACTTGAATGGCACACTGAAGATGAAAAAATGTTTTGAAATAAACTCACATGGTTTGACATCACCAAAGCCTTTTAACAAAGATGTGCAGCTTGTTTATACCCACTGCATGTGTTACACAGCTATAGTTCTACTGAGGTAGCACAAAACATGATCTGCTGTTATCTGAACCAACATTATGTAAACGTCACTTCTCTGTGTTATGCTTATCAGTTTACAACCTAGAAATGGTGATTCATTAGTGCTACACGTGTTCTAATTACTTTCACTCAATCAAAAAATACTGTATTAAAGAAGGCCTTCGTTCTGTGGTCTTTGATAGTAAAAATGTAATCGATATTTACCAAAAACACAAATCTGAATGAGAATCATAAGGGAATTTTGACAGAATATATATA